ATGCCTCAGAGAATGTGAACAAAAATTAAAAAATTGAAATGTCTGTGTGACTCATTCTAGGCTCTCATAAACAGCTGTTTGGAGTTATGGAAACTTGGCCAGAGGGGCTTAGGATCAACCTGGAGATGGTATGATTTAACTGGAAAAGTAGGTTATATGGAGGGAGACTATTACAAGATTTCTGGTGTGATGTCTTGCTTTAGTAATGGGAACCAGCTAGTTAGGGTTTTGTTTCTTTTCAAAGCCTGAACTTTTGAGCCTTCTTGTGCTTTCTGGGATGGCTGAAACAGCCCCAAAACCCTTCAGCCCATATTGTCAGAGAAATGTGACTTCTCCACCTCCTTTGTTTCTCCTTGGGGTCCCACAAGTGAGGGCAACCTCCCTACCCCCCCTTGTACAGATAAGGAAGCAAGTGTGTTTCAGTATCTCCACAGGAGTCAAACCTGGGGCTTACTTCGTCACCACAGATGACAAAGGAGGCCTGCGAAAAGCTTTGGGTGAGGTGTACTTACAGTATGGCCACCATGGCTATGCCGTTCCTATCCTGCTTCTCTTCTTCCCATCCCATTGTACTTCCGAAGGTGACTGCCCCCCTTCCAACTGTGACTACAAGACAAGGACGGAGGATAGGATCAGAGTCCTGCCTCATCTGAGGGACCATCGTCACACAAGACAGATGAGATGCTTGTGTTCCTCTGGGTACAGGACCCTGGGCTGCCTCTGCAGCATTCAGACAGCTCAATGGCTGCATGCAGAGGCTATAGTAAGGGTCAGAGGGCAGGTGACTGGCTTAGCTGAGGGCCATTCAGATAACTTGGCCCCAGAGCTGTTGCAAAGAGAGCCTTAAGCAGCTATAATTGCCACTGAGAGTCAGCAAGGGAACAGGCTGGAGACAGAGGCTGTGCCTCAGTATTCTCATTTAAAAAGCAGTGAATTATATAATACACGTCCAAGGGCAGTTGAAAGGAATAACTGCTGGTGGGAGTGTTAACCCAGAACCTGGCACAAAGTGAACCATCCCTGAACCAGAGACTGTTGGGCCTTAGAGCCTCCCTTACTGACCAGCACTACAGAGCCGAAGCACAAGGAGCTCCCCCACTGCCAGGACTGCATCTGACCATGGCTGTACTACACAGGACCACAGGGTGACCGGTGAAGGGCTGGCCTAGGCAGCAGTCTGGAAAGTGAGCTCAGTCCAGAGCCCCTCTTCTTAGTTTGACTAAACACCTACGTGCTGTCCCCTCTAGGGAGGCCTTGTGCTTCAGGTAGCTCTGAATTTCCCCTTACCACACTTTAAGAAAAAAAAGTTGAACGAATTAAAAGGGAGAGAAATGAGGTGTTCATGGTTATATCATCAATGCAAGGCTAACGTCTGAGACTTCAGTTTCTAGCTAGAGAACTGGAAACAACCCACCATTTTGCTAGGAGCCTTTTCAGGAGCTGTCTGGGTTGGCTCAGTCCCAGGCTGTGCCAGCTGAATGAGTAGTTAGTTAGCTGCTGCTCAGTTTCACTCGTTCTTCTTTGAAGCAAGGATGATTCCAACTCTGAGCTAGATGTGGTCTCAGCCCAGGGTCTAAACATTTTAATATTTAGACTCTTCACCTGTGGTGGAAAAATCTGGCAACTGTGTCCTTGATTTAACTTTATCAAGTGACCCAAAACCTGGAGTTGTGATGACTGGTGCAGCAGTGATACTACCTGTTAATGATGAAAGGATTGTCAGAGCAGATTAAAAAAAACGGCAAATAGAAACTTACTGATTTCAAATGTCACCCATATCTCCTTTCCCATAACAACTGAAAAATAAATCTTAACAGATTAAAAAATATATCCTTTTTGTATATTCACTAAGTATGTCTCCTCAGGAACACTTAGCTGCAGAATATTCTATCAAGTGGGAGTACCAGTCATCTCCTTACAGCTGACCTGTCCAGTTGTTTCTTCGCGTAAAAAAAAAAAAAAAAAAGCCTAAAGAAAGTCTTTGTGCACATGGGCTTTCTCATTAAAAGATTCCTGGGAATGGAAAGCGTTCAAGTATTCAGATCCTGAAGGATTTCAGCCAGCAGGCCAGAAAACCACCCCCAAAATGCAGAGCCGGGACTGGTGCGGAAAGGGAAAAGTGGCTGCATTTGGGAGATAGAAGCACGCAGCCCACCTCAACTGACCACCAACCTTCACTTCCACATCGCTGTATTCTTATTCTCCTCTCATAGGATCTTACTACTTTGAGTGGGAAATGGAAGTGCAATTCCTACTCCCACAAGCAATGCCCGTGTCTGTGGCTCCCCACATCTGCCTTGTATACTCTGAAGAAAAATGAAATCAGTTCAGTGTCAGCTGAGGAGCTAGTTGGTTTGGGGACCTTAATAGGCCAGAATCTATCTCGAGAAGAACTGCCCCTGAGCTATGTGTATAATTAAGCCACAAAAGGAAAGCACTTCCTGACTTTTGGTTCCAAACGGGCCTTTCCCCTTAGGACTCCAGGGACTTAGCTGGCCATGAGGCCAGCCTTGGAGCCCTAGAGAGCAGACACAGAACCTGAAGAGGCTCTAGAGCAGGTAGTACCTCCTCCAGGTATAGAAAGTACACTGGGCCCAGGGTCAGGGTCTGGACAGCTCACCTTGAAGCCTATAATCCAGGGCCACTGTTCCACCTCAGCCCTGCTCTTTCTAAAATGAGGGGCCTTCAACCTGGCACGTCACAGTTGCATTTTTTAAAAGTATATTTTGCTTTTCTAATCAGGGTCTTTAAAAAAAAAAACCAGTAACATTATAATTTGGAAGCTAAAGGTCTAGTGGATGAAATCGAGTATTACAAAAGCCAACACCAAATGACCCTGAGGATGCTGTTTTGGGTCATCATTGCTCTGCTGCCAATTTCCTGAGACAACTGTTTAATTGGCTGTGGCCTCAGGCTGGCAGGAAGGCCAGACTCTGAGACTCTTTTGCTTACATAATTTCACACCAAACTTTCCAGGCTGCCCCCAGTATCACCTCCCAGTGTAACCACAGGTGGTCTAAGGCAGGGATGGAATGCACACATGTCCCTAGCAGTAACCACCAATAGGAGTGAGCAGCACCACCCCAGCATGCTAGTTGACCCCGCACCATCTTTGATTTCTAGTCCAGGGATCCTTGGGTCTGAATAGCTTAAGTTCTAGGCTGCAACAGGCCTTGCAAGGAAAGGCAGCTGTGATTCACCCCAAAGGGCAACGGGCTCTCCTCCCTGTGTCCCAGGGCTGATACCTGATGTGGGCACAGTGCTGCTGGGCACACTGGGCCTAGGGCTTGGAGACTGGCTGGCTGCAAGGGTAAACAGGGTTTATGTTAGCTTCCAGATGCTCCAAAAGCAGTAAGCATCAGTTTCCCTCAAATACCAGCAGCTGTGCAGGGCGGCCACTCTTGCTGTTTCTCAGATGGGCAGCAGAGGCACTGTGGGAAGTTCAAGAGGCATCAGAGAGGTTTCCTCTTCTCCAGGGGATGGTAGGTGGCTCTTGCCCTGCCATGCAGGCTCTCACCTCAGGATGGAGAATGGTGTGGATTCTCCAAAAGCTTTGAGGTATAGACATGGAGGCAAAGACTGTTTTAATTTCCACTTAGCTGCTTGTAGGGGAAGGCATTTTATCCATCAGAGCCAAAATTTCTCTTGCAGGGGAGCTGAAAAACATGGTGTCAACCACCTGGCCTAGTTCCTAGTCTCAGACAGGGCTCATTTTCTCTTCAGTCTTACATTGTGTGAGCTGTAGGAGACAGGGCTCAAACTTTTCCAGTCACCGCTGGAGGGGGAAGGATCAATTTCTCGGTGCATTAAATGCTACTAGCCCGAGTGGGTCACCAAGAGACATGGAAAACTCCCTCACAGGTTATATTTGTGAAGTTCTCACTGCAATTGCGCCTGAACATTGCCATCCACCAGAGAGCCTCCAGCTGACCACCACCACGTGTTACAGATGAAACCACTTAGGCTCAGTGGTGAAGGCACAAGCCCAGGGAAGCACAGCAGGCTGGTGGAGCGTCAGGACCTGAGCTGGGTCTGTCCTTGGTACAGCCCAATCCAGCAGTTCTAGACCTTGGCAAGCACAGGAGTTACCTGTGGAAAGATTACAACCCACAAAAGCATCTAGTATCCAGAATCTATAAAGAACGCCTACAATTCAACAGCAAAAAGACAAATAACCCAATTGAAAAATGGGCAAAAGACTTGAATAGACGTTTCTCCAAAGATGTATTTCTCCAAAAATGGCCAAAAAGCACATGAAAAGATGTTGAACATCCGTAGTCACTGGGAAAATGCAAGTCAAAACCACAATGAGGTATCACTTCACATACACTAGGGTGGCCATAATAAAAATAAGTATTGGTGAAGATGTGTAGAAAAGGACCCTAGGGCATCATTGGTGGGAATATAAAATGGTACAACTGCTTTGGAAAATCACTTAGTAATTAAACATAGAATTACCACATGACCCAGTGATTCCACTCCTACACATACACCAAAAGAACTGAAAACAGGTGTTCAAAACTTTTTTTCAAATTCTTGTACATGAATGTTTATAGCAGCACTATTCACAATAGCCAAAAGGTAATAACCCAAACATCCATCAGCTGATGACCATAATGTGGTCCATCCACACAATGGAATATCATTCTGTCATAAAGAATAAAGAACTGACACATGCTACATGGATGAACCTTGCAAACACCATCCTTAGTGAAGGAAGCCAGACACAAGTCATATTCTGTATAATTCCATTTATATGAAATGTTTGGAATAGGTAAAACCAGAGACAGAAAGTAGACTGGTGGTTGCCAGGGCTAGGGGAGGAGAAAACCCACATATGCAGGGCCATGACCCATACTCACTGATCAGGTGCTCCAGGAGCAAGTCTAGGTATCTATCTGCACTTATAAAAATTCTCCACCCTGCTGTCCAACGAGGGCACAGAACTATTGGTCTAACTGAAAGGCATAAGGCCTGGAGTCCCGAGACCTGAGGATAGATCACTTCTTTACCAGCTAGCAATGTGACTCTGGGCAACTCACAACCCATTTCTGCTTACCTTCTACACCATAAAATAAAGCCAATATGGTTATGTATCATTCACAAGCCTTTTGTAAAGGCAAATAAGGAAGGTGGCAACCTCTGGAGGTGTGGAAGATGAAGAGTATTTTGAATCTTGCATCAGCTTTCTCTGCTCTGCAGGAAGTTGGGCTTACTATTTACCATGTGAACAAGGAAGAAGGGCAAGGGCTGGGAGGGGAGGCCACGAGGGCTAGAGGCTAGCGAGACATCCCTCGGGCACTGGCTGGTGTCTGTACCTGCTGTTCTTGCCACTGTTCACCAGATACTGCACCATACCCACCAGAGTAAAGGGGTAGAATTCTTTATTATAAGGCACATGAGCTGGAAGTGTCCTAGCCATAGCAGCTTCTAGATAAAAGAGGAAAAGCTGCTTCTATAGATACAATTTTAGGACAAGAACAACTTCCTTGAATTACATCCTCCATTCTCAGAATGTGTAGAGAGAAACCCTTTCCAGGCTGCCCAGAGCCTGCAATGGGAGTGCCAGTCCCTCAAAGGGGCTTTCTGGTGGCCACAGCTGCGGAATACACGGACCTCAATGCCAAATACGCTAACTACCAGCTTCTCTACAGTGCTAACTGCAACAATCCGTGCCGGGATCACAGGGAAGTTTCTGTGACTTCTCAGTGGTGGCCATGGTCATTCCTGAGCCCTGGGCAGAGGGCCACTGTCCAACAGAGGTGGACTTCTTGAGAGTGCAGTCTGGATCTTCACTCCTTAACACAAGCAAGCCAGACTCCAGTAGCTCCCACTTTCCTCAATGCCTCTAGGGCAGTAAAGGGCCACCTGGTCCTAGTGAAAACAATTCATTCCTGAAACAAAAGGGGCAGGTCCAAAGAAGTGGCCCTTTCTACCCTACCCTGCCCTCATCTATTCTGAGGACAGAAAGGACGGGTGTGTCCAGGCTGGTGGCAAAGGCTGCATTTCCGGGGTTTTTTGGCCGTGGACCCTGTGTCTACGGAACTGGCCCGGGGCCTTTTGCTTCTGGACTCTGGTCCCTGGGTTTTTCCTCTGCCTCCTGGCCAGGGTAGGGCTCCAAAAGTTCCTGTGAGAAGAGTCAGGGAAAGGCTGAGTTTAGAAGGACACACTGAAGTAGAAAGAAAATACAGGTTACCCCAGTGGGTGGAGAGTACCCTCCCAACCTTTATGTAGTCACAGCTAACCCACAGGCCAGGCTCCCTTCACTCTATGTCAACACAAAATGTGTCACTACCTGAACCCTGAGCTCTTGAAGGCCTTGGCCCACTCTCACTGTTCTGGTAAAGAGGGCACTGTTGTCACTTCGTATACACCCTTTTTACAGAAGTGGAAAACAAGCAACTGGCCTGAGGTTATGTCGGTGAGGCAGCAAAGTGAGCCTGTGACTGACAACTGCTTCCCACCTCACCCGAGTTCTGGAACCTTGCAGTCCTTAAACAGGCCTCTTACTACCGACTGCTTAATTATCCAGAGGTCAGACACTACTTCCTTCCAGTGGGGGAGACAAGTAGCTCTTCCATACCTGAACTACCTTTCATACACTTCTAATGTGGGTCCATCACTTCAGTGGCTGTCTCTGGCCTCCTCCGGCACTGGTAGCCAGCCCTATGCTTTTACCAAGCCTTCTAGGTTCTTCTTGTACATGCAGAGCTGGCAACATGTGTCTGAGAACCATAGTCTGAGACTAACTAAACTTCTTTATAAAACAGAAACCTTAACAAAGGTAGGCAGGTGCCCATCTTATTGAGGAAACTGAGGCTGAGAGGCCAAGTCATTTGTTCAAGGTTAGGCAGCTGGGCTTTGGAACCAGATCTATATAACGACAAAGCCACCACCAGGTATTTTGGTGATTTTCAGATATTTTAATTAAGCTTCTGCTGTATGTACTGCAGCAGGCAGGAATCATTTCAAAGTGCCTTCAGGTGGATCTACCTTGATCCAATGTCTGGGTGCTAGTTCTCACATACTCATTTTTTGGGTGCCAGACCCAAGCTATGTAACCTTAGGTAGGTTCCTAGACATTAGGGCCAATTTTTTCATCTGAAGACATGAGGCTATTGATTCTGCATGGTTTACAAAGGCTACAGGAGAATAGGACTGTGGGATTAGGCTGAACTACATTCAAATCTTGGGCCGTGCTACTGTGTGACTCTGAGCAAAATCACTTCGTTTGTTGGGGCTTCACCTTCCTCATTTGTAAAACTGTGATCACATGCTTACCTGGTAAAGATGGACGATGCCTACTATATAGTCTACTTAACATAGTGCTAAGCACATAGCAAGCTACTCAACTCATGACAGTCACCCTCTGGTTTGGAATGAAGACTGCCATTCACTACCTTGCTGAAAATGATCATGTGAGGAGCTGGAGGAGCAAGGCAACCCAATCATCTTCCCGCTCCCACCACTGCCCCACCCTGCCTTCAGTCTCTGAAGCAGGGATCTGAACGCCCCACGCCAGGCCCAGCTCTGGAGCTGCTCCCTGCAGTGGTGCTACAGGGAAGGGTTGTGATTCTCACCTGGGGCCACATTCTCGTCCACCCACTGGAAGAAGCCGCACTGCTGCTCTCTTGGCTTGGAGCATGTGTGGAACTGGCGCCCCTTGTTGGGTCCATCCTTCTGCACAGTCAGTTTGACAGCGGGCTGGCTGCACAGACAGGCTGTGCCACCACCACTGTCATTACCAGAGTTGCCAAACCCACCTGGGTGTTTCCCTAAACCTGATGAGTGCCCCAGTGAGGCGTCTAGGGGTCTTGATGTGGAGGAAGGAGTCCTTCCTGCTTCTGGATGGCTGCTGTCTGCCCACAGGAAGAAGTTGCAGCTGCCACCATGGCATTTATAGAACTGCCGGCCCTGATTGGGCCCCTCCTTCCGGACAGTGAGCAGGATGGCCTCCTGGCCACAGTTGCAGGTCACAGAGTTGCTTTCACCAGCAGCAGTAGGCAATGGTAGATTCTGGACCAGAGCCTTTGAAGGCCTAGTATGCCTGGTGTCAGGAGGCAGAGGGTGGCTGTGCTGGCTGCTGTTGACTCTGTTCAGGGACTGGTTAGCCTGGAGATGGCTAGAGGGCTGGCTGGCTGGCTGGCAAGTTCTGGAGGTGCCCCGTGAAAACCTTAGGTCCAAGATTTCCCTCAGGGTCTCATCACATCCACCGATGCAGCCAACAAATTCAAGAGGCATGGTTGGGGGAAGGCTACCACGTTTAAATTTTAACTTCAACCTAGTGAGGCCAGAAGATGAGAGAAAACATTAACTACCAGGTACAAAAGTCTTCATGGTCAACAGAGGGCTGTGCCCATCCTAGGTCTCCCGTTGGCATCCCCATGCCCCAGAAAGCCCACATAAGTCACCAGCCAACCATCTGGCCCCTCCAATCTTCATAAGAGTACAGAGTAGGAGACAGATGAAATCTAAGACTGCAATACAGAAAGGAGCCTCTAAAAGATTCATTCCCCTGTACCAGGTTCTCAAACTGTGTTTCAGCAGCCTCTGGGGGCTCCTGGGCCTTTTCAGGGTGAAGTAAAAAATATTTTGTAACAGCACTAAGAAGTTATATCTATTGTACTCTCATTCTTCCAAGTGTGTGCAGTAGAGTTTGCTGGAGCCTACAATACATGCAATAAACTTAGCTGACTGATTGCAAAAGCAGATGAGAATCACCTTTCTCCTATTAAAGACAACAGACTTGCAAAAATGAAAAACCATACATTTCTCTAAATTTGGGAGGTTAGAAAATAGGCATTTTAGTCTAAAAACATGTTATTTTACTATACAGTGCATCTGTTATGAACAAATAACCTAAATTTTAGAAGATGTCTCCACTTTAATTTAGGATATGGTAAATAATGATAAACAGAACCTACAACAAAAGCTCTATGGGTTTCTCAAATATTTTTACAAGTATAAGGGGTCCTGTGACCAAAAAGTTTGAGGATCAGTTTTAAATGAGGACTCTGGGCTTTTGGAAGGAGCTTGGAAATGATATTAAACATATGAATACTTTCCTACACTCTACACAGAGGCAATCTAGCAGAAGGGCAGGGAAAGGGGGCCTTCATGGTTCTTCTCCCTGAGCCAGCCCAGGAACCTGTCCCCAGGACTGGTTTCCTTGCCTACAAAGGCATCTATGGGACCTGAACTAATTTAGGCCCGTTGACCTGGCTGCTGCTGAGCACAGCGAATACGCTTCCTAACTAGGAATTAAAGTCCCTGGAAATTTTCCACCTGTGCTCTTACAGCTGACTCAGGCACCCAGCTCACCTGTAAACAGGGTGTGGCTGACACACTGGACACACACTTTCATCCCTGCTGGCCTCCAGCACAGAGTCGGGGAACCACACAGCTGATCGACATTCTGGGAAACCCACGCAGCTGAGGTAGAACCTGGGGGGCATGGGGACCACGGTGAGGCAGGAGCCGTCAGACCACAGGAAAGAGAAAACAGTCCTAGGCTATTACCCATCTGGCAAACTTTTCTTCAGCTGATAAAAGAAGACATTCATTTTTATGGAGGACACTTAAATGTCACTGTTAATGAATAACTCAGAAAAACTAGCCTGCATTTATTTCTCATCTCCCTAAAAAAGTGAAACAGCTACAGCTGACTCTGCTTTCTACTGAAAAATAACCAACCCACCTACAAATACCCGGACCAGCTGAGTACCAAGGGTTCTGTTCAGACTCCGTGTTGAGTGCTCTCACACCATCCCTAACCAATTCCTCATGATAATCCTTAGCTGCCACCACCGTCCACCACTCTTGCTGTGAACTGCCCTCAGCAGCCAGGTGCTGGCTTGGGCAGCTAGGTCAGGCCAGGTAACCTGAGCCTTGGAGTAAACTGCCCACTCTGACTCACTGCACTGAAAAAGAAGAGGGATTTGAGATGTTCAGACCCAATTCAGAGCCAAAATTAGAGTAACGAAGCAGTATTGTTGAGTGTCTCTAACGTATCAGGATGTGTGCTAGACCCTTGACCCTTTTCACTGAATCCTCACCTTTTCTATAGCTTTGTGAGGTAAACACCACTGCCCTGAGTTTATGGAAGAAAAAATTGGGGCTCAGAGTAGTTAAGTAACCTGCTTTGGGGTACAAAGCTTATATGTGGCAGAAGTGGGATTTGAACCCCACACACACCTAGGTCTGAAGCTCATACTTCTCCACCATTCTCCACACACTGGATGAGTGAGTTGCTATCTATAGGGAACACAAGCCCGACCACCAGTGAGTCCCCCACCTCCTCTAAATCCCACAGCACTTCATTCCTTTAGGCCCAGGTCCCAGTCGGATACTGTTCCATACCCAACACCCTATCCAGGGGCTGGCAACAGCAGGCTGCCTTTAAATAGTGACAAAGAAATGAATGACGGGGTCTTGCAGAGAGCAGTACGGCAGGTACTGAGCAAGCAAAGGAGGGGGTGGGGCACAAGCTGGGTACTGACCCACCGCTCTTCTTGGTCTTGAGGACCATGTCCTTATTGCACTGTGGGCACTTCCTGATAGGCTCTGGCACAGCTGGGTAGATGGCTTCTTGCTGAGCCACCTCTGCCCCTTCCCCAAAGTACTGGGACAAGGCTTCATCCAACCTGAAGAGACAGCAAAGCATTTGCAACAATCTTATGTGCACACATGTGTGTGACCTTGGGAACCAGCTGCAGGTCAGCCATAGGTCTGATGCAAAGAATGGAGGCAGACAGAGCGCTGCACTAATCAAGCAGCCCTGGCTCTTCTTACTCCTGACAGATCCCAGCAGGGATCCAGCTACATACAGGGCAGGTAAGTCTGCCTTGTCACTGACTTCACATCAAACAAAATTGCACAGGGTCCATGCACACACTGGGTTGAAGTGTAAAACTAGCTCATGCATTCTTCAAAATTGTTACGTGATAGAAAACATTTCTAACAAAATACACACATGCTGCTTGCTAAATGGCCACCTCCAAATACTTCAGAGAACAAATGGGTCATACACCAGCACTTGCGTTTACTGATATATGGTTGTGCTGCTTACTAATTCAAGACAGAATTAAAATCAAGAAAATGATATTTCTAAAGCCAACAGACCAGAATAACTGGATCAGATCTGTTTATTGTTTCTATAGTGACAAAACTTTATGGAAAGGAACAAACAAAACTCAGGAGGAAAATGTGAAGGGGAGGAGCTGTATGCGGAAAGCACTGCCAGGTAACAAGGCCGCTGGTGAAGAAGAACTGTGCTGGTGGGGCTTTAACAACCTGAAGGGCTGGGGTTACGAGGAGCTACACCTGGTTTATGCTGAATCACCCCAAGAACTCCTATTCTTATGGAAATGTTAGGGCCAAGGTCACACAGCTAAACCTCTATATGCACAGAAGAGCAGGTCCTGGTACTCACTTCTTAGCTTTAGCCACTGCTTCAGTGAAAACCTGCTTGTACTTCTGGACCTGTTGTCTTAGAACCACAAATTTATCCTTCTTCCCCTCACAGATCAGCTTCAGATCAGCTTCCAGCTCAGCCCGGAGGTCAGGCTTGGACATCTCATAACCCATGGAGTCATAACCTGCAGGAAAACAGCAGTGTTTTGTGCAGCCCCAGACAATACAACTTAGGGACTTTAGCCACACAGCCTCCCCAACTACCCACTGCAAGCTCCCTCCTCTTTACCTTCCACAAGTCCCATGCCCAGATGCCCAGGGAGAAACCGCTTGTCGGGGGTGAGCCCAACGTACGTCCGGGCTTTGATCGTCTCGATGTGTTCTGCATGCGTAGCATCAGTACCTGAAAGCCACTCCTGGTTACTCAGGTTAATCCTGTCCTCCTCCCGGGTGTCCCATGGGCCCCTTCTCTGCCTGGATTTCCTATTCTCAGTATGTCACTTCCAGTCACATCTGGCCCATGTAGAAACCATGATGGCCCCTCACCTCTCCCTCACATCCAGTTACTCACTAAAGCTGTTAACTCCAGCTTTGAAGTTCCTTTTTCAAGTCTTTCTCCTCAGTTCCATGTGTCAGAGCCATGGCCAGGAACAAACAATCTCATCTGCATCATTACATCCTCAATCTCCTAGTTTCTGGTCTCTTCTTCCACCCACCCCATTCTTTATGATGTTGCCAAAGGGACCTTTTAAAATAGAGCTCTGCCATCAGGGAAATGCAAACCAAACCCACAAAGAAATATTACTTCATGCCCACCTGGATGGTTATAATAAGAAGGACAAATAATAACAAATGTTGGTGAGGATATGGAGCAACTGGGACCCTCATACACTGCTGGAGGAATGTAAAATAGTACAACCACTGGGGAAAACAGTCTGGCGGTTCCTCAAAAGGTTAAAAAGAGTCACCACATGACCCAGCAACTCTACTCTTAGGTATATACTCAAGAGAATCAAAACTATGTCTACAGAAAAACTTTTACACAAATGTTCACTGAAGTATTATGGAAATAACCCAAATGTCCATCACTGATAACAAAACAACTGATAAACAAAATGTGGAAAATATGCAGTAATAAAAAGGAACAAAGTACCGATACATGTCACAACATGGATGAACCCTAAAAACATGTAAGTAAAAGTGAGTTACAAAAGGCCACATACTCCATCATTCCATTTACAAGAAATGGCTAAAATAGGCAAATCTACTGAGTCAGAAAGATTAGTGGTTGCCTAGCGCTGGGGGTTAGGATTGGAGAGAAGGGGAAATGGGGAGTGACTAATGGTTATGGGGTTTCTTTCTGGGGTAATAAAAATGTTCTCAAATTGATTTGTAGTGATGGCCACACAGTTTTGTGAATATACTAAACACTGAACTGTAAATCAATGAATGGTATGTATGAATTATGTCTCAATAAAGCTGTTAACTTTTTTTTTTTTTTAATGTAGCTCTATGGTGCTCTTTTCCTTAGAAATCTTAGATGACTGTCTGCTGACCACTGGCCAACATCCAAAACTCTCT